GTTGTGATGCCTATGGGTGCCACTCCTTTTGCTTGAGGCATCGCATTTGGCCCCTGCTCTTCTTCACTGCACATCCTGCCAGGGTGTGGATCTCCTAGGTGAAAACCCTGCACCATTCAATCGATCCACGACATCCTTGGATGTTGTTTCCTCCTTGGGAGGTGTCCGTTTGGAGAGACCATTGATATTGCCCACAATTGTCTTCTCCCGGCGGTGTTTTGTGTGTGCACAGGGATGTTCTAGTTTGTTCGGGCTTTGTGGGAAGAATCTCAAGTGTGGCTCATAATCATCTGGTCAGCTGTATCAGTCATTGCTGGTCAAGTGCTACTTGGTGGTTGGTTGGCGGATGGCAGAGGACAGTTAGTGGACTTTGGTGACATGTGAGATGCTTTAGATTCATTGTTCATCAGCTTGTTTTGCAGGAGGACGATAGAGTTTTTGTGGACTTCCACAATCTCACTTCATATACAAGAGAATAGGTGGAAGTGGAACCGCATCCAGCTTTCCCTATAGGTGGATAGTAGATTGATGGGTGGTTTGAGTTATATGCTCAGTCTGCGATTCTAAATTTGCTTAGAGCCTAGTTGGTCACATTCATATTTCTTTAAACTACAATTATTTTTGTCGATTAGTACATGCTTTTTTATTCGTATGAAGCTCGAGAGAGCTTTGTTAACTAGGAATGAATGCTATATATTGTAATCATTTGTATGATGTCCCAAAAATGCACGGTGACGCTGGCCTCAGCCACGCCACCTTATGAATGGTTTTCATAGCTTGCAGAGCTAACTCATTTCACTACTGTGGTCAAGTAATTGGCTTTAAATCTATACTCTATACCCAACTTTCTGTGGTCGCCACACAAACACATCTTCTCAAAGTGGATCCAGCTAACTACACGGTCGTACAAACATGGCTTTCATTCACTTTCTGATAGGGGCGACTGATTGACCACATGAACATATTACTTCTATATGACATCTTTTTTCTCTGCCATTGAATTCCTGATGGAAAGTGATGGTTTTTTTTCTTTCCTGTCGAAATCATATGGAGTGATATCTCGCTAAAGCTAAGGTCCAGTGAACTCTAACCCGTCCTGGTTGAATACCACATCTCCGTCGCTGCATCTTTCGATGACTAAAGCTGTAAAGCCCATCTCCTTGTCTACCAATGGCACGCAGGTGAGAAATTAATGGTCATTATCAGGCGTAATTCAAATTTTGGTGTTGAATTCAAATTAATGCTTTAGTAGGTCCCGTCTCCACAAAAGAGTTTAGCTTCTATTCACTACTACAAAATAGTTTTCGCCTATGATATTTTCACCGCCGGTTTTATTAAAACCATAGGTGGTAACTGATAACATATCACCACCCATTCGTAATAAAATTGGCAATGAAAATCATTTTCATGGTCGGTTCTGGAGAAAGACCATTGATGAAAAATATCCTTACTTTCACCACTGATTCGGTACAGGGACCAGCGGTAAAAATCTAGCCTCACGAGGGTGTGCCTCTCTCTAGCATGATCTGCCTGCCCAACTAACATGTATATGTTTGTGCTTCCTTAAAGTGTCTAACAAGCGGCCCCAATATTCTGGTGGTAAAGGATTATAAGTCTACGTTCCTTAGGAGAGTTTCTTCAGATAATGTTCTTTTAATGGATACTAGATCTTACCGCCAGCTACATGTAGCTTTTGTGGTCTTCAAAGTTTTGTATAGGGAAGGTGTTTGCAGGTATCCCTTTCCCTTGCTATCAGTTAGTGTGAGCTCAATCTCTAGCATGCGCTAAACGAACGAAGGAATAAGATGAGTAGAGGTTGCTCTTTATGTACTCTCTTATTTTTATTAGAGGCTGTTTTGTGCCAAGTTATCATTTTATACTCTCTATTATATATTGTTTCTCTTGATGAATATTGTGGGGGATATACCCCCGGGTACCACAAGATGGTACATGGGCCGCACCATCCGAGGTGTCCCGGCCTGTAAGATCGAGGCGTGCACGGCAAGATTACAAGTTGTACTAGATATTGTAATAGTACCAAATATGATACTTTACTTGTAACCCTCCTCCTCCTTAGCATACAAGGAGAGGCAGGGGTCCCCCTCAGGGATCACCTCAATCAATACAGAATAACGGGACACAGGACGTAGGTATTACGCCAACACGGCGGCCGAACCTGTATAAATCTTGTGTCTTGTGCCCTCTATAACCATCTGGTTCCTGATTACACGCACCGTCTACCGACAATCTACCATCATAGGCATACCCCTAGATGGACTGCCGACCATATTTTGTCGACAGTGGCGCGCCAGGTAGGGGTCCCCTTTAGGGGTCGTGCGTGCTGATCCTTCGACAAGCCGGATGGGAAATTTCTCTTAACATCTGCTAAAAATCGGACCACATCGCAATGATGATCGGCGCAAAGAACGGTGCTACGACAACCGCGACCACCGTCATGACGACAGGTCGGAAAGCTCGAGGACCGGACAATTTCATCACCGCCGACCAGATTTCTATCCAAAGATAAGTACACTTCTAATATTTATATTTAATATATTTTTCATTACGACGTTTCTCCATAACATTCTCGTCATGATTATTCTTTAAATAATGTTTGTCCATGTATACCATCTTAAATATAACATATAGCTATACTTAATGCAAATCCTCGACCAGTCATGTTGACGCTCGATGTCTCCAGAATGGCCCTGTCTCCGGCTCCTCCCTACACGTGCACGAGCGTCTGCCCTCTGCGTTATGGGTGGTCGACAGCGGCTCCTTAGCGACGCTTTGTTCTTCCTACACGTGTACGGGCTCCGTGCCCCGCGTTATGGTTAACGGGCTAGCTAGGGATGGAGACTCAGCTACACACTAACTGGTCGGACAGTTTATATTAAGTATAAATACAAACTTCACATTAACACTGATGTTTACAAAGCACCAACTGCTTTATCACATCATGCTCATTTGCAAATGACTGCTGAGCGTCATACGCTATTTCTTCACCGCTGATTTTCTCTCCATAATTTATTACTTTGTACATCATGTACTACCATTCTACATATTTATATTGCAGGAATTTCGAGCTACGCATGGGGACTTCGTCGCTCGCTCCTCGACCTGTGCTCGGGGACTGCCTCGACCACTCTCTGACCACAGCTCGGGGACTTAAATGCCGCCGCTCCTTGACTTGTGCTCGGGGACCGCCTCAACCACTCTCGACCACGGCTTGGGGACTTCGTGCTCGCTCCTCTACATGCTCGGGGGCTGTTCTCGACCACTCTCGACCACAGGTTGGGGACTTCGTCGCTCGCTCCTCGACCTGTGCTTGGGGACTGCCTCGATCACTCTCTGACTACAGCTCGAGGACTTCATCGCTCGCTCCTTAACTTGTGCTCGGGGACTGCCTCGACCACTCTCCGATCACAGCTGGGGACTTGGCGTCTCGACTACATGCGAATGGCGACTCGCATATAGTTGGGATATTTTTCTCTCCTTTAGACCTTTCTACGAGGCTCATACCTCTCCTTCCAAAGCAAGCTCGGGGACTACATCGATGCGATGCACCTGATGGTGCATGCTGTATCTAATTAACAAGACTTTTTAGACCCTGGCACCACGTGCCTACGTCACCTACTACCAGGCTCGGGGACTAAGTGGGCACACTTCACCTTGCGGTGAATGTGCTTGTTTTTTGACCCCTACGCCTCTGATGATCAAAAACGCTACGCTTCAAGACACCCTTACGTTTCTTCACAGAAACCCAAGTGGGCACACTTCCCAGGACGGAAATCTTTTTCTTTCTTCTTAAGAGCACCATACATTCTTCGGACAACCTACTTCTCCTGCGACAACGGTGGTCGGAGATGCCAAGAACTCAAGCCTCACTGTTCGAAGAAGGTTAAAATGGCGTGTCGCATCAGAATACATGGCGCTCGGGGACTAGCTGTGGGGGATATACCCCCGGGTACCACAAGATGGTACATGGGCCGCACCATCCGAGGTGGCCCAACCCATAAGATCGAGGCGTGCACGGCAAGATTACAAGTTGTACTAGATATTGTAATAGTACCAAATATGATACTTTACTTGTAACCCTCCTCCTCCTGAGTATACAAGGAGAGGCAGGGGTCCCCCTCAGGGATCACCTCAATCAATACAGAATAACGGGACACAGGACGTAGGTATTACGCCAACACGGCGGCCGAACCTGTATAAATCTTGTGTCTTGTGCCCTCTGTAACCATCTGGTTCCTGATTACACGCACCGTCTACCGACAATCTACCATCGTGGACATACCACTAGATAGACTGCCGATCATATTTCGTCGACAAATATCAAATATGAGGCACCTTTTGAGTATCTTTATTAAAAAAAACTTGAAGGAAAAAATCACCTTTAATAGCTCCTACTGAATCAAAGACACAAAGTACTTCACCCGTGCTGAACTGAACTGGTTTATTATTACTAGCCTAACACTGATGGCAAAGTATTCCTATCGGTGTGGAACCAACCGAAAGAAAAATTACAAATCACAAACCACACAGAGGAATGACAAAATTCATGTGTAGAAATGCCATAATGATTTTGACCTGACACTCTTTTCTTATCTACTACTGAATTATTGCTGCTGTCAAGCTTTCATACTTCACTACAGTGCGATTTCTATCTATAGCTGTGTCATTTGAATAGTCCAACGTTTGGTCATGTCATGTGCCATCCTTTTCTTGCATGTCACATTGATGGTTGTCCCACATTTATTTCCCAGACAGAGATGCTATCTATAATACTTTTCAAAGATAAAATATTTTCAGTCATTTGAATAGAAAAAAATGTAGTAATCATTTAAAATTTTGACCAGGTTCCTGTTGATGATTGGGCTACTACTGCAGATATTCATGCCTTATTTAACGACTTCCACCCCCAGAGATGGAAGGCGCACCAGGCAGCCACGGCAAAGTGCAGACAAACCACAATACAACCATCACCTTGCTGAAGAATGAAGATCCATAAGATGATTCCCAGCCTATGTACATGGCAGATCTCCATGCTCACTCTTATCACCAATATCCTCTTTGTTATATCCACCTCTCCATCTCCTAACCCTAGCCACCATGATCTCTTGGCGCTCTTATCCCTCAAATCCCACATAACAAGTGATGCACTGTCGTCATGGGATGCAGCAAGCAACGACACCAGCAAACCAGTTCCTAATTTCTGCAAATGGACTGGCGTGACCTGCGGCGACCGTCGCCACCCTGGCCATGTCACTGCCATAGATCTGCATGGCTATGGCCTTGGAGGCACCATCTCTCAAGACATCGGCAACCTCACATACCTCCACTTCATTGATCTATCGTCCAATAACCTGGTAGGTGATATTCCCTCCAGCCTTGGCAATTGCAGAAGACTTCGTACTATGAATTTGAGCAGTAACCACTTGTCTGGTTCTGTCCCTACTCCTCTGGGTCACCTATCAAAGCTCAAAATTTTCAATGTCAACAACAACAATCTGACTGGTGAAATTCCCACGACACTATTTAATGTCACAACGCTAATGATCCTTAGAATTGGGGGAAACTCCTTTCAGGGCCAAATCCCCAGCTGGTTGAGCAACCTAACATCATTGACTGATTTGTATCTTGTGAATAACAACTTCAGTGGCAACATCCCTGCAGATTTATGTAAGTTAAGTAACCTCACAACGTTTGATGTAATGAATAACAAGCTTGACGGCCCTGTTCCTCCATCACTCTTCAATATTTCGTCCATCACTACCTTAGGTCTTGACATGAACCAGCTTACAGGATCACTGCCACTTGATATTGGCTTTAAGCTTCCCAAGCTATATGCTTTGGCCACATATTACAATTACTTTGAGGGTCCAATACCAGCCTCCTTATCAAATGCATCTGAACTCCAATATCTGATTCTTCGTGGAAACCGATATCATGGTTTGATCCCACGGACATTGGTATTCACGGTAAATTGAAGTTTTTTCGGTAGGCTGCAATGAACTACAAACCACAAAGCCTACGGATTGGGAGTTTATCACATCCTTAACCAACTGTAGCAACTTGAAAAGAATAGACCTCGAAGAAAACAACTTTTCAGGTGTTATGCCGGTTAGTATCGCCAACCTATCTCGAAAACTCGAGTGGCTTACAATTGGCACAAATCACATAGCCGGGACCATATCTTGGGTAGGGATGTTCCAAAACCTTACAAAGCTTACCCTTGAGGATAACCTATTTACAGGCACCTTACCTATAGATATTGGCAAGCTTTCTAGTCTCGATATTCTTGATCTGAGTCATAATGGATTTGAAGGGCAGATTCCACAATCAATAGGCAATGTCACAGTACTGGATAATCTTTCTCTATCTAATAACTTTCTGAACAACAGCATTCCGCCAAGCCTTGGAAAATTATCGAATATTGTATCCATGGATCTTTCTTGTAACCTGTTGACGGGCCAAATCCCACTGGAGATATTTAGTATTCCTTCCTGACCATACTTCTTAACCTTTCCAGAAATGCTCTAAGTGGGGCAATCCCAACACAGATTGGGCACTTGAAGAGCCTCGGCACAATGGACCTCTCAATGAATAAGCTAGATGGTGAAATCCCAGAGGCTATTGAGGGTTGTGTCCAACTGCGATTCCTATACTTACAAGGAAATCTACTGCAAGAGCAAATCCCAAAAGGGTTGAATACTCTGGGAGTGCTTGAAAAATTGGATCTCTCGAGCAATAACTTAACAGGACCCATACCCAAATTTCTAGAGGGCATTAGATCTCTAAGCTATCTAAACCTGTCCTTCAATAACCTATCTGGTCCTGTGCCAGATGCAGGTGTCTTTTCTAATTCCACTATATTGTCGGTCACAGGTAACACCATGCTATGTGGTGGTCCTCCATTCTTGCAACTCCATTCATGCCCATCTATACCTTCTCACAAGGCTTCACCGCATCGATTGCACATATTTATCTTTGGAGCTATTGGATTATTCATCTTTTGTGTATGCTCCGTAACTGCTTATTGCTTTATTAAGAGAAGGACCACATCAACTTTTGTTCATCATGAGCACCTATTCTTTAATGAGGAGCATGAGAGAATATCCTATGCCGAGCTACATAAAGCAACAGGATCATTCTCTCCAGCAAATTTGATTGGTTCTGGAAGCTCTGGCAAAGTGTACTTTGGAAATTTAACTTTTGGTGAGAATTTAGCTACCGTAGCAATCAAGGTTCTTGATCTTGGACAACAAAGAGCCAGTAGAAGCTTTTTAGCTGAGTGTAATGCTCTAAAGAGGATCCACCACCGGAAATTGGTGAAGGTGATCACCGTGTGCAGTGGCTTCGACCATAATGGTAATGAATTCAAGGCACTTGTCCTAGAATATATTTGCAATGGGAGTTTAGATGACTGGCTGCATCCAGACAAAATGACAAATAGCAAGATCAGAAGAAATCTAAGTTTGATGAAAAGACTCAACATTGCTCTTGACGTTGCAGAGGCATTGGAATATCTTCACGATCATATTGATCCACGGATAGTTCATTGTGACATTAAACCAAGCAACATACTTCTAGATGATGATTTGGTTGGACATGTTACAGACTTCGGTTTAGCAAAGATAATGTCGTCTGAAGCAGGCAGGAAAAACCATCATGAAACTGAAGGCAGCTCATTTGCAGTTAAAGGCACAATTGGATATATCCCCCCAGGTCAGTAATCAAACGGTTGTTGACGCATATGAATATGTTGCTGTTCTGAAGATTATTTATCTGATAAACTGATAATATTAAATTTTTATGTGATCTAATTATAATGTAGCCAATGAAATTTCCTTTTCTGTATATCCCAGAGTATGGATCAGGATGTGATGTCTCCACGGATGGTGATACATATAGCTACGGGGTACTCCTGTTAGAAATGTTTACTGGAAGAAGGCCAACTGACAGTTTCAACGATGGCGTGCCAAATCTTGTCAGCTTTGTTAAGATGGCTTATCCTATTAATCTACTAGAGATACTTGATGTTACTGCATCATACAGTAGAAACACAGACACCCAAGCTATCCTAGATATTCTCGTTTATCCAATATTTAGAGTTGCTTTAGCATGTTGCAATGACTCACCAAGACAAAGAATGAAGATGCACGACATAGTGGAGGAGTTGAATGCTATAAAAATGGCATGCGCTGTTCAGATGCCGTACTCATAAATTACGGGCTGACACATGAACTAGGCTGGCAATAAGATGGTTCATTTTAGTCTACAAACTTGCTAATATCCCTTGTGAACCTCCAAGTTTGCTAATTTCCTTGTGAACCTCTGATTTGTAAAAGGACTTTTATTGGTGATTCTTAAGTCAAGTATATTGCCACTGATTTTTACTTTACATATGTTTAATTTTTTTTTTAATCGTCTATACCTAAATAAGAATCGATCAACAATAGGCCAATGAAACCAAACTAAAAATACATCGCCAATACTTCCTGCCGATCCATCCATCAGCCACATCAAAAATCTGCTGCAGATCATCAGTCGCACGGCATAAAGAACAGGCCACTAGCGATCCATCCATCAGCAAAACGGAAGAACACTGGCGAACTAACTGCGGAAGCTCTGGAGCCGGCCGCCGTCGCTCTCGGGTGGGATGAGCGGGTGAGGGAGAGTGTGGCCGGTGGCTGATGGCCGGTGGTGGCGCGGTGCGGATGACGGGACGAGCGGGGTGCGGGGCTGCGAGCCTGTGTCGAGGCCGCCGTCGCCCTAGGTGGGATGAGCGTGAGGGAGAGCCTAAGAGGGTTGAGGGATTGAGAGTTCCAGGCTTATTTACCTATGGTTGCTAGTTGGGCTCCTAATGGGCTGAATCTTTCAGGACCCAAATGGATATCTGCGGGTGAAATTGATGATCCGCACCAAACCCGTTGCATTTCGGGTATCCGAACCCGAAAATTCGTGGGCAAAACCTAGACACCAAAACCGAAACCCGTGGACCCGAAACTCACGGATATCCGCCCCGAACCCGATCCGCTGCCATCTTATGTCCGCGCCCACAAGGTGGTTAATTTTCAGAGATGGTTCTTTTTATGAAAACAGCCCGTGGAAACACTCCCTCCCCCGGTCCTCCGCAAAGTTTCAGAGGTTACTGTGTTAAGTGAACCACTCTTAAAAGTTTTAGAGGTTACTGTGTTAAATGGGTTGCCTGTGGAGATAAGGTGATTCATAGTTAGACGTGGCTAGCAGTTTCAACTGGCCATGAAAAAAACTACAGAAATGCTATAAATAGGACGTCCGACGCCAGCGACTCCCTTCGGATGGACGCGTAGCGTGACGTGCACCACAACTTTGTCTTTTTCTATTCCCTGCTCATTTCCATGTCTCTTATTCTCATCCGGATGCCGCGCCGCACTCCACTCACTACTGCGGCATTCTCCCACTGTGCCCCCGACCCTGTGTCGCTCGCTCGCTCACTCCTCCCTCCCACGCCGTCGCGCGCCCTACCTGCACCACTCACTCTCCTCGCTCCTCGCTCCTCTCCCCCGCCCGTCACGCGCTCCCTCTTGTAACGCGCGGCGTCCGCCAGGCTGAGCCAAGGCCTGTGCTGCTGGTGCTGGATGGTGGTGGTGCTTGTGCGTCGCTGCTCGCCGCCAGATCCCACCCCGATGACCGAAATCGATCGGCCCCAGCCTTCCCCTCCCCTATGTTGGAAATGTATGTTTCAAGTGTTTCATATGTTTCAGAGGTATGTTGCAATTGTTACATATGGATGTTGCAAAGTAGATTGGGTTGCACATGTTACATATTTTTGCAAGTGTTTTGAGTGTTATGTTGCAAGCGTTTAAAAAAATGTTTTCAGACATATGTTGTAACAAGTGTTTTATCTGGATGTTGCATATGTTTTACACACATGTTGTAAGTGTTTTATGTGGATGTTGCATATGTTTCACACACATGTTGCAACAGTGTGTTTCTAATGTTTCATCTGTGTCCAACGTATGTTGCATTCAAGTGTTTCACGAGGGCACAGTGAGTGATGGGCTCATGGCCCAGGCGCCGGGGGATGGGGCGTGGCAAAGCTGGGGACCGACAGACGTGGTGCAGCAAGCTGGGGGTGGGCTCCTGAGTCCCGCCCACACGGAGAGAGAAGAAAGGGTCTGAGGGAAGGAGTGGGGCACGGTGACGAGTGTAGGGTGCTCATGCGAGGCGGGGGCGAGCTGAGGTGGATGGGGGCGGGCTTCGTGGCCGTCCATCCGGACGCGAGGAGCAGCGGGCGCAGGTCACCAGCGGTCCCCACGGGCGCGGGCCCCTAGGTGGACGCGTGAAAAGTAGGCACAGGCAGGAGGGCGAACTCCAGGCGCGCGCCGAGGAAACGAATCGGCTCGGTCCATGGTACCGTCCGATGGATCAATATCCGGACGTCTCGAAAAAACTAGACACCTATAGAAAAAGCATTTGTGTAGTAGTGTCTTTCCTCGTGCCTCTGGGCTTTAGTGACAGGCTGAGCAGGTAGAGTTGCAAATTTGCATATGATGCATGCACAATTGGCCGCCTGTGCTCAAAGTGGTTCCAACTTGCCACGTAGCGAGAAAATGGGCTAGCTGCCTCTATGTTTCCAAAGACCATCGCGTGAGTCATAAAAAAATAAAAACCCATCGCGTGTGGCGTGCGCTCCTGACCCTTTCTTCTACCTCGCTAGGTTGCTCCTAGTGGCGCCCAACGGCTAATGGGCATGTTCATTTGGTTGGTCTTTGGTCTTTGGTCTTTGGTTTGAAATTTTTGGTGGTCTTTGGTTTTTAGAGAAAAACACTGTTGGCTAGCTGGTTTAGGCTGGCTGAAACCAACCAGCGAACCGGCTGAATGGTTCAAGTGAGATTGCAAAATGGAGCAAGAGAAATCGAGCATGTGGTGTGCTGGACAAAACGAAATCTCGTTGAGCTGGTTCGACGCCACATTTCAAATTGATCCGATTGAACATGTTTTTCAAATAAAATATAGTTGATTTTGGATTACTTTTAATTTTGCCTTGGATCATTAAGCTCAGTCAGCTTGAAGTTGGGTTCCAAACAACAAATATGAACAAATTAATTTCAAAAAAAGTGAGAAAAAACTTACTCATTATCCACCCCTATTGCGGACCTTGGAACAATACTGATGGATAATAGATGGGCCACGAGGTAGCGTCGCTTTTGTGGGCTGAAACGTATAATATGGATTCCCTAGCCCCGCAAGAGAAGTTAGTTAAAGAAGGAAAATGTTCATTTTGTCTCCCTCATCTATCACAAAAGTTTGTTTTTTCTCCCTTAACTCTAAAATTGGAAATAGCTCATCCCTCGTCGCTCAAAGCCTGACACTTAACGCCCATGGTTGTTTACCTTGGTGGTTTTTCTTTCTTTTTTTGTTTATTTTAGTTGAATATTTGAAAAATCATAGTAAGTCAAGAAAAATCATAAAATGGAAAATCCAATGCGGTGGGCTCTAGATGAGTAGATCTATGCAGTGAACATATGATTTGATATGATTTAGTACAATTTTTTTTGTTGTAGCTTTAAATCTATGCTTCTCTGTAATTAATTCATAGCTATAGTTTCTTTGGTCCAATTATCGTGAAATTTTTATGGTGGACTAATAATTTCATGCTTGATATGTAGTAAAAATTTCATGCTCATTGGATCATATATGACTAAGTTATAGAATTATCTAGTTTTATCTATTGATTTATCTAGATAAAACTATAACTCAGTCATACATGATCCAATGAACATGAATTTTTTGCTACACATCTGAAGAATGAAATAATTAGTCCTCCATAAAAAATTGACTTTAATTGGACCACGAAAACTACAGACTATGAATTAATTACGAAGAAGCATAGATCCTAAGCTACAACAAAACTTTAATACTAAAGCACACCATAACATATGTTCACTATGTAAATCTACTCAGGTGAGTCAACAAAATTTCATGCTCATTGGATCATGTATGACTGAGTTATAGATTAATTTCATTTAAAACTATTTAACAAATATAAACATCGATAAATCTATAACTCACTGCGTACATGGTCCAATGAGCATGAAATTTTAACCGCATACTCAAGCAGTCAATGGTTAGCCCACCGTAAAAATTTCACCATAATTAGACTAGAGAAACTACAGCTATAAATTAATTATAGAAAAAAAGCATAGATCTAAAGTTCACAAAAAAACTTTATACTAAAGTGTACTATATCATATGTTCACCATGTACATCTACTAATGTGGAATCCAACACAATTGGATTTTCGATTTTATGTTTTTTCTATGATTTATTAGATTTTTCAAAGATTCAACTGAAATAAACATAAAAGAAAAAAAGAGAACCACCGAGGCAAACAACCATGGGTTCAAGTGTCCGTTCTTTTTTTTGTTTTTTGAGAAATGTCAAGTGTCCGGTTTTGAGAGATGAGGAGGAGCTATTTCCGGTTTTAGAGCTGAAGGAAGAAAAGTTGACTTTTTACGATAGTTGAGAGAGATAAAATAGACTTTTTCTGTTAAAGAAAAGAAAAGCTAGGTCAGTCCATGATAGATTGAAACTGGACCATAAAATAAGGGAGGTACCCTGGACATTTGGGCCATGACTAGGCTGTGGACCTAGTTGCCGCGGCTAGGCCCATACCCGCCGCTGACCCTGAAGAAGTGGGAATCGCATTTGCATTAGGTCCGGGAGCACTCGATTTGTTCGTGGACACATTTCTCCATCTGATCGGGGTTTTTTTTTCGAAACTGTCCATCTGATCGTTTTGGTTAGCACGGATCGGATTACCGTGCCTTTGGTTAGATGGATTGGCTGCTGTGTCAGCGTGCGTTTTTTTTTTTTGTCGAGTTGGAATTATAGCCGGATCAGTCGGGCCTGCGTAGTCCAGTATATAAACCGAACCTTTGCCACTTCACTGCCAGCCGGGCCGCCACCGCCTCCGCCTCCGCCTAGCAAGAGGAGGCACCATCCAACCTGCCGCGGTCGTCGAGTTCCGGTAATCCGCCAGCATTCCTTCCCCCAAACTCGACGCTCCTCTGTCCCTACTCCCTTGCCTCCTGCTCTCGCCGCGGGTCGCGCGCGCAAGGTGTTCGATGCATTGCCTGTTTTCCTGCGCTTCGATGCAAGCACGCGCCACCCACGGTGCTCGCGTTTTGCTGCCGGTTTATGAACGCAATGTGTGTCCTCGCTGACGGCTGCTGTTTTTCCGATCATATTTGCAGGGTCGGATCAACTGATGGCGGATACCACGGGAACGTCGTGGTCGGACATCCCGCTGGACCTCGCCGGCCGGATCCTCCACCGGCTGCCTGCCCATGTTGACCGCGTCCGGTTCGGCGCCGTGTGCCCCCAGTGGCGCGCGACCACGCGGCACGGCCCCCTGCCCCCACCGCTGCCTCTGCTGCTGCTCTCGGATGCTAGGGTGTACAGTCTGCCCGGAAGCGAGCCGTTCCACTTCTCTGGTTTTACGGGGACGGGGTACACCGACGCTTGTGGCGACTGGCTGGTGTTTTCAGGTGAGGAGGGCTGCTTCCTGAGGGATCCTTTCTCCAATGCCACCGTGACACTTCCACCTCTGTCACGTGTCCGAGCTCGGCTTGTGGGCAGGGGCGGTGGAGCAGTTTGGACTCAAGGCCCCCCCTGCTGCCTCCACAGCCATGAAGCGCCGTCCTAAGCGCACAATAACTTTTACTCACTGTGGAACAGATGAAGGAGGGATTTTGAAGGATGAAGATGTTTTGAGCCCCGGAACCTCTTTGATTCTGAAACCACCTATGCATGTGGGTGATGAGTCCGTTAATGTGGCAACCCTAGCATGGATGGAAATGGCTGAAAGGTTGCAGTTGGAGGAGGAGCCAAAGAAGTGCAAACTGTGGCTCTGTTCACCCAATTTCATTGTAGCAACAATCAAGTTCACGGGAGGCAAACGGATTGCAGTGTGCCAGGCAGGGGCCACCTCGTGGTGGTCTGTATGTTTCGAAAATCACTGTCCAGACTTTATTGACATGGCATTCCATCAGGGCAAGCTATATGCCCTTGACGTCCATGATTCACTTTTCGTCATCGATGTCAGCATGGAAAACAGTAGCAGCGATCCATGGATTTCTCAAATGCGAAAGGTCATCATCGGTCCATATTTGCACATGCATTTTTCCCTAGGATGTCAAAAGAGGGCCTATCTAGTTGAATCACGTGGTGTGTTGCTGGTGGTATTGAGAAAGTTGCGCCACCCATCGATAGACCTGAGTTATGCAGCTGAACGTAATGAGTTCGAGGTGTTTGAAGCCGATCTCAGTCAGTCACAGTGGTTTAAGGTGACGGCGATAGGGAACAATGAGGTTTTGTTTCTACGTCGACGATGCAGCAGGTCTGTTGGTGTTTCTCATAATGCTTTGCCAGGGGGCTGCATCTTCTTCCTGGATAATGATGACAAGGATTGCAGTTGGTATGGTGCCTCAAGTTCTTGCTGCGTCTACAGCATGACGAATGGCAAGGTCTCCACCCCTCTGCCAACGGTGTCATGGAAGCCTGGCATTGTGTTTGGGACTTGGCTCTTCCCTCAGAGCTGAAGTGAAGCTGTTGCTGAGCTTGGTGCTAAATTCGTCGAACCAACTTATCTTACCCTCGTAGTATGTTTAATGGTCTCTAATAATAACAGAAGATAAGTGTATCAGTACTTGTCTGGTCGAAGAATGGTGCGACTATGTGCTGATTGTGTCATTATCAATCTGTAAACATCTGATGGATCTTTTGGCATTGCTATCTGCTGTTGTGGACCTATTCTGTGAGCTTGGCATCTTAATGGTGTCTCTAGTTGGGGAGATAGTAAGCTTTTTAATTTGATCGATCTTAACCATCATTATGTTGAATCTTCTGTATGTGTTATGAGTTATGACATGAGAGGTTTATAGTGCTGTTTTAGCTTTTTGGGGTGGAATAGCCATGATCCATGTGGAGATCAATAAGGTTTACTTTCAAGGTGGATTGTAACAGAACCGATCAAATCATAAGAACGTAAGTACAAAAACAATCACCGAAGTGATCAAATTCCTATACTTAAGCTCCCATAATCCTGGTAGTCCGGAAATCATGAAGGATTTCAACCAACTCTCGACATACAAACCAAGACCGTAGTGATTCAACACAACACATCATTCGGTACAACATTTCACAAGTAGCATTTGGATTACATCCATCAGAGTTCAAATAAAATATTACAAACCAAGTTCAAATCCGCGGAAGCAACATAGTTTAGTACATAACTTCATAGTTTCAAATACATTGCCAGATCTTAGTCATGTCCCACAAAAGCATTATCAGATACGAGAACTAGGAGAGACCGCGCCCAACGGTCTAGTCTTCATCCCCAGCCGGGAGAAGGCAATACTTGCAGCAACCAAAGTAGAACTGGTCATCTGCAACAGGTGGGAGATAAACCCTGAGTACGAGAAGGTACTCAGCTAGACTTACCCGACAAAACCAGAAATAACAGACACCAAGGATCATGCAAGGCTTATGAGGTAGGCTCGTTGGACACAGTTGCATAAAAGAGCTTATGAATATAGTGACCAATTTAAACTTAGCATCAAGCTTATCATCATTTACCTGTCCACTAGATTAGCACCTGTACTAGAGCACTCACTTATTAGGAGCAATCAATATTAACCATAGCAGGTATAATAAGGCTGTCATCATCATATCATCATTTCCGAACCATTATGTTATTTAGTGTATCTACTTTGGAGATAAGCCCGTCAAGTTCTCACTAACCGGGAGAGACGACGACTCGAATCGAATTACAACTCAGCTGAGGGGGTATTCCTAACTCTCACCCTGGCATACTTTGCAAGGGTAGCCGTGGGTCACCTTTGGGACAACTCAGAAACCAAATTCGCGGGTTCGATCAGCGCCAGCACTCTCAGGGATTACCCTTCTGCCAGGACGATCATGACTTTTAAATCACCTTCCCTTGGACTCACGCCTACGGCTCCCTTTCGAGGCGCACTTTATACTTATCGACTCCCGGCCTGAGGTGAGCTACTCGGCTTCGTGGTCGATCTCCAGACCCGGTCAACTAAGAGAGAGGCATGCGTTCAACATGAACAGAAAAAGGCTCCAAGATTCAATCCTTAAGCGACACAGACGGAGTCACTACAAACCGGCAAGCCTCCGTCCGGTCTTCATTTCAAATTAAGACTGGTTCTTTTCCACGATAGCAAATATAGCCAACCGTGTCATATGTATCTTCCTATATATCGCAGGTGACAGGAAATCACCTGACTTCTACCGTGTTTAAGCAGGGCTAAGCACTACACGAACCTGAACTACATAGGATTCAGGGTATCAATATCTGGACAAGGATTGGATAATCAATGCAGCAAGTGTTTGCATCCAACACCTAAACTTAATGCAACAATATATATATGCAACAATAATACTTTAACTGCATTTCGAAAATTAGGAGGCTTAATATGCTCCGGGGCTTGCCTTTCACAAAGTTGCACGGACGGTGATCTGGACACTCAACGGCGACCTCGTCTGGCACTTCTCCTGAGGGCTGCACCTCCAGAACCTCTGGTGTTGGCTGCTGCTGCTCCTCGCTCGGTTCCTCGAATTCCAGCAGGGTCACTCCTTCCGGTACACCTATTGCATGCCGATGCACAAGATAAACATCATGGATGCATAAGGAATGACATAATGCTCATGATGAATGAATCATAGTAAGTGTTTAACGAAAACATCACTGGACACTCGTTTACCGATTAAGAATAGCTCTATTCAAATCACTTTAAAACGTGTATCTAACTTAACTTGAAGAACGAGATCAACTTACCTAACTTGCATAACCTAAGATAAAGATGCTCATCTTCAGTTAAAGGCCTAACACCTAGGAACATTATCACAAACTTAGAAATAGTAAAGGCATACTTAAAACAACAGTTAAAGTTTCATATGCACACGGATAGTTCCTTAATTTAATCATAACCACAGTTTTATAAATTCAAATGACTTGTAAGAGGATATTCTAGAAAGCTTATGAAATTCTCTACAAATAATTTGTAAACATCAAAGCATGATTCTTACGTTAACCAAATCGAATTCCAGTAAACCTAGAATCTGTCTAGAAATGACAGGGTTGCTAAATTAAATATTTAGTGATGATGCAAAAGCCTAATTGGACCAAACCAAGTTTACCAACTTGTTGCACATACCAAAGGAATATCAGAAAGTATAGTGACAACCTCTAAATAAATTATTTAATGTCCTTTTCTAATTTATTTCGTTAATTAGATGATTAAAGCAAATATATAGTAAAACTGTTCAGAAAAATCTATAAAAATTACAGTAGCTATCTCATGCTTCACATAGACTACCTTAAAAATTTCAAAGTCATTAGGCAAGCAGAACTTGCTGTATCCAAAATAACAGGTGGCATGTCTATTTTTAGCATAATTAGGAAACCCTTGTCAAGCAATAGATTTCTCATTTTTCCTAGCATCATTCTAGCATAAGAACAGCACTCACCAAATTTTACCCTTACTGGATCTATAGAAAAATTATGAAAATTCACACAAGACCCATCCATGCAAATAAGAGAATTTTCTATCTCCTACATACAGTGTCCAAAATATATAAAAATTTAACTACAAGCTATTCATGATATGAGCAGTACACCATAAAAATTTCATGCCATTTGGAGCTACATAGAAAAAGATATAATTACCCCTATTTCTTTCATGATTAAAAGAGATAATTAGTAACTCCATTTTTCATAACAGAACATAGCATAAATTATATTTTTAATAAAAACTAGACATTATCATGAACTTAGCAAAATTGGAACCACATCATTTGAATGTACCAACTAGGAGATACATATTTTTGAATCTATACACCAATCTGTGAAAAGAATAAAACAAAACAATTTGAAACCCTAATGAACTACTGCTGGGCCGGCCCGAAGAGACCCGGCGGCCCACAGCGCATGCGCAAGCGCAGCCCAGCCACGACGCGGCCTAGGCTGGCTCCCGCCTCCGCTGCAGCGACTGACATACGAGACCCACCCGACAGAGCGACAGGCAGGGGAGGAAGAAGAGATGGCGGCGCAACGCGTCGCCGGTGGCATCTCCAGCGGTGCTACGGCGTTAGCCTCATCAATGCGCATCTAACGGTGCCATCTATTGAAGCTATTGTCGCAGCTAAAGGGGGTGGCGACAGTCATGACGGTGCACGACCACGGCATGGCCGGCTCCGGCGAGACGACGGCGCCACTGCCCTAGTGGGTGACCCTATGAGCTTCAGTAGCGTTCACAGAAGCTTGCGCAAGGGAGAGAAGGGATGGGAAGGTCGCGGTGACAGTTGGCCGCGTGGAGCGCCAACTCCGACGAGGTCTCGCCATGGCGGCGGTGGAAGAAATGGCGATTTCGCCCTTACCAAGGCTCAAATAGACCGACTGAAAGGTGGAGGTGGTAGAGGAGATCACGGCGAAGCTAGGGGCAAGATGGCCGGCGCATTTTTGTAGTGGCGAGCGCGCAAGGCAACGACGACGGTTGGTCGAAACTGGAGGAGCTGCGACGGCTCGGCGCTGCGCGTGGTGGAGACGAAATAGTGCAAATGGAGCAGGCGAGTGCGTCGGGCAGGCGCTGGCTTTCATCTGGAGCTCGGACATTACCACATGGGTTGATGTATCAATCAACACTCCATTCCCGCTCATCCACTTCATCCCTAGGATTACATCGATTCCTACCCCCGGCAGAACTACAAGATCTGTAAGGAACTCTCGATCCCCAATCTCAATCTTTACATCTTTAACTACTTGGTTAGTCATGATATTATTCCCAGCAGCACTAATACAATAACCACCCTTGACAATTGTAATCACATTCATCTTATGCATAGATGCAAAAGTAGAACTCACAAAGGAATGTGAAGCACCAATCAAAGAGCACAAGCTGCAGGGTGATCATTAACAAGGAACTTACCAAATGTGACCACTTCACCAAACAGGAATTTCCTCCACAATGAGTGTAGTGAACACGCCCGACGGACGTTTCCACGAGCATTACTCGCTTGGGAGGATAGGGACAAGTACTAGCCCGATGACCGGGCTTATTACGGTTCCAACACGGCTGTTAGGCTGGTGGGACATTGAGCTGCTCTGCCCGAGGTATTCTTTGGCAAGGAAATTATGTACCCCTTATGGAAACCAGTTTTAGCTTGATTCTTCTTCTGAGGCGGGCGAAGCAGATGCGGACATTAGCATTGGGTGGACGATATTGGGTTTTGGATACCACTGGTGCCTTAGACTGAGAAGCACCTGCCTCAAAGTTTCTTTTACGGGTCTTAGAAGCAGCATATACCTTATCATTATTCTCTTTAGTCAGGGTGTCACTGATAAACTCATTGAAGGTGACACACTTGCAGTTGCCCATAGACTTCATCAGTTTAGGGGAAAGTCCCCTCTTGAAACTAGCTATCTTTTTGGCATCAGTATCAACGAACTCAGGAGCATACCTCGCCAGGTTGTTAAATGCCTGGAGGTATTCAGTAAGACTCTTGTTGCCTTGAG